CACTAGGAAAATTTTTGCTTCCTGTACCCTCAACTTTGTACTCTACTGGCTTGGATGTTTCGGTTCCAGAGGAGGGAGTGCTTCTGTCTGGAGAGACAACAAACATTCCATTGAACTGGAAGCTAAGACTTCCCCCTGGACACTTTGGGCTTCTGATGTCCTTAAGTCAACAGGCTAAGAAAGGAATGACAGTATTAGGAGGAGTGATTGATCCAGACTACCAGTGGGAAATTGGACTGGTTCTCCACGATGGAGGTAATGAAGATTATATCTGGAAGGCAGGAGATTCCTTAGGGCAACTTTTGGTGTTACCATGTCCTGTGATTAAGGTCAATGGGAAACTGCAACAACCCAATCCAGACAGGACAACAAATGACCCAGACACTTCAAGGATGAAAGTATAGGTCACTCCTCCATCAAAAGAGCCAAGACCTACAGAGGTGCTTGCTGATGGTGGAGGAAATACAGAATGGGTAGTAGAGGAAGGTAGTTACAAATACCAACTTAGGCCATGTGACCAGTTGCAAAAAATAATTGACATGAGTATTTTTGTCCTATACTTGTGTTATTCTTTTTTGAATGTGTAATTGAGGTAAGTGTTAAGTAGTTAAGTGTTGTGAACCTATATGATTATACTGGGTCATGAGATACTAAAGGACTAAGCATTCCTTGAAGACCTTAGCACCTACTCTAAGATACAGAATGCATTGGTCATTGTATGATGGGATAGTCATACTATGTTAGGTGAAATTATGACCTCAATATTGTTTTTATTTGAAAATTAAGCATGACATAGAGAGATGCTATTGGGTGTCAGGTTGACAAGGGGTGGACTTGTGATGGCTAATCCTGGGTGTCAACTTGACTGGATCTGGGATTAACTGAAATGAGAGAGATCTTAATTTGGATCATCTGAAGCTGGAAGACATGCCCTAAATGTGGGTGTTACCTTGATGGCAGCCTTTATAAATATAAGGCCATGGCAGAGGAGAACACCTGGTTTCTTGCTGCTTGCCTTCTCTCTTGCTGGTGAGTTCGTCTTGCTGCTGTAGACTGAAGACTAGCTGATCTTTTGGAATTCATCAGACCTTCAGAGCCAGATTGGGACTACTGACACATCCAGCCTCATGGACTGAGTGACTATGGATTCTCAGCCTCTCCAGTGTGATGCAGCCATTGTTGGACTACTGGGACTCTATCTTGTGAGCTAATCTGATAAATCTCTATACATATATATTCATTCTACCGGTTCTGTTTCTTTGGAGAGCCCTAACTAATACAATCTCCAAAACTATTTCCTCTTCCTTCCTCCAAAAGGCTTTTTTGTTTGTTTGTTTTAAGATAGGGTTTTACTATGTGGCCTAGGCTGTCCTGGAATTTGTGACCCTCCAGCCTCATCCTCCCAATTGTTGGGATTTTAGTGTGTCATCATGCCTGGCTCCCAGAGGCTTTTTAAGTTTATGTGAATGAAGATGCTGTTGTTTAATTAGTGCTAATGAGAATTACTAAAGTTAATGCTCTGGCTTTGGCTAGTGGTATGATTTGCAAATCATACTTATAATCAAAATTATATTAAAATAGCTACTTTTTTTAAAAAAATTCCTAACAGAATTCCTTAATATCGGAAGTCCTTTTTAACTTTGCTATTTTGGAGACAGAGTCATAGCCAAGGGGGTTGGCCTTGAACTCATAATCCTGCTGCCTCAGCCACCTCGAGTTAAGATTAGAGATGTACACCACCATGCCCAGCAGAAGTCGTTCTAAATAAGCCATCTCTCAAATAAGTCCTTCCAAATTCAATCTAGAATCCATCTTTAATCATTCTAACATGTACAGACTACCTAACTGAACAATGTATTGAGTAAAGAACAGTATATCAGAATCTCCACCTAAGAAAACCAGATTATCAATTATTTTAGGATGATTAAATACAAATATTTTCAAGTGGTATACTACATTTCTTAATTTTTATTTTATTTATTACTACTGTATGTACAATATGTATGTGAAAGAGTACATGCCATGGGCATGTGTGGAGGTCAGAGGACAGCTCTAGAATCAATTATCTCCTTCCACCTTTAAATGGGTTCTGTGGATCAAACTTGGGTCATCAGGATTGCATGGAAAAGACTTTACCCTCTAAGACATCTTATAATCTCCTACCACATACTTTCAAATGATAGCGTTTCTTTTTTTTTTTAATTTTATTTTATGTGTATTCATGTATTGCCTGCATGTAGGTAGTAAGTGCACCCGTGTCATGCAATGCCACTGTCGGATCCCCTGGGACTGGAGTTACAGACAGTTGTTAACTGCCATGTGGGTGCTGGGATTCGAACCCAGGTCTTCTGCAAGAACAACCAGTGTTCTTAACCGCTGAGCCATCTCTCCAGCCCCTCAAATAATAGAGTTTCAAAATATGTTCACTAGTGTGTACTAATGAAGAATGCTTCAGATGTCTTTAAAAAAAAAAACCAGTAAGGGCTAGAGAAATGGCTCAGTGGTTAAGAGCACTGAATGCCCTTACAGAGGACCTGGATTGGATTCCTAGTACCCACATGGCAGCAAACAACCATCTGTAACTCCAGTTCCAGGGGAATCCAATGCTGCCTTCTGACCTCCAGAGGCAATTCATGTCACAGGTACACTTACAAACATGCAGGCAATACACATAAAATAAAAATAACCGGGAGTGGTGGCACGTGCCTTTAATCCCAGCACTCGGGAGGCAGAGGCAGGTGGATTTCTTTGAGTTTAAGGCCAGCCTGGACTACATAGTGAATTCCAGGCCAGTTAGGGCTACAGGGAACCCTTTCTCAAAAAAAAAAAAAAAAGAGACCAATAAATAAATAAAAACAATAATAATAAATATATATAAATCTATGTAAATATATATGTATTAAAACAATAGGAAGCTGGTATGGTGGCACACAATGCTATGATTCTAGCACTCAGGAGAGTCCTAAGTTTGAGGCCAGCCTGGGCTATTTGAGAGTTTCAGACTAGCCTAAGCTATAGACAGTAACCTACCTTCCATAGAATGGAATCCTTGCTTTGGTGGCATTCTGTTTTAGTTGGTCAAAAGCTCCTAAGAGATAAAGAGTTAATGACTCCTCACATTTGAAAATAAGAATTAAAGAAAGAAAATTTTAAATTTCAACACACACCTGCTCTGAATGTATCTGCACATATCAAACAGGTTTTCCAACCTTTCCTCTGGTAATAATATGCTAACTGGGAAAAGAAGATTAAAAACATGACATCATAAAACATAATAAGTCATTTTACATATAACTTCTTTTGTTTAACCTTATTTATCTGAGTAGAGTAAAATTACTCGTAATACTCCTGCATATAGTATTATTAAACATTTTTGCATAAAGCAAAATTTCCAAAGAGTTTATATTCTAATTTTCATATAGTTTCATTCAAAGAATAGAAGCTTATTAAAAGCAATCACTTAAAAATGTTAACTTCAAATATTAAAGTTAAAACAATTAACACTGTTTAAAAATAATCATGACCTTCTTCCCTTAAACTTAACACAATTAAGGCTTGTGACGAAAAAAAAGCTAATAACAATATGGAGGAACACAATTTTAGACAATAGGGACATATAATCAACTAAAAATTAGCATAAGGATATATTTGTCTCACACACACACTCTCTCTCTCTCTCTCTCTCTCTCTCTCTCTCTTGCTCTTTTTTGTTTGCTTGTTTGTTTTAAAACAGGGTCTCACTATGTAGGCCTGGCTGGGTCTGAACTACATAAACCACGTTGGCCTCAATCTGCCTACTTGTCTGCTCTGCCTCCCAAGTACTGGGATTAAAGGCATGCGCCACCAAACTTGGTCATACTAAGGTTCTTTTTGTTTTGTTTTTTTGTCTTGCTTTTTGAGATAGGGTCTCACTATGTAGCTCTGGCTGGCCTGGAACTTGCTATGTAGATCAGGCTGGTGTCCAGAGCACAGAGATCAGACTGGCTTTGCCCCACAAGTGGTGGGATTAAAGGTGTGTGCCACCATGCCTAACTCATAAATACTTAGGTTCTTAAAGCTCAGGAATGGTTTTATCTTTCTCAAAAGAAATAGCATAATCATACAGAAATCTATCATTCTTTTTTGTTTGTTTTTTAGAGACAGTGTCCTGTAGCTTAGGCTGACCTCAAACTCACTATGTAGCTAACGATGACCTCCTGCCTCCACCTCCCAAGTTCCAGGATTGCAAGTGTGTGCCAGCACATCTGGCTTAGAATTCTAACGTTCTGATAAAAACCAAAAGACTATGGGATTCTATCTTCTCTCTTATGAAAATACTACAAAAGCAGAACATACAAATTTAGTAACACAAAACCATAAAGCAAAGATACATAGTCTGGCTTTAACATAAAAGCTTTCATACACAAATACATCTTCATGACTTTCCAGTGTATTTACCTTTGAACACGTTGTCGTTTTACCGCTCCCTTGCAATCCTACAAACATAATCACATTCTGCTTCCCCTTAGTAGGTGTCCACGCTTTAACTCCAGGGTCCACAAGCTATACACCAAACATAAAAAGATCAAGATAACAGGTTAATTTCAAAAACCCTATCCACACAACTTTTAAATTATAAAAATAATTTAAGGACACTTTCATTGTACAGAAGCCACCATAATCCTTCCCCTCTAATACAACTCCACTACTCCCCTCTTGCGCTAGTATAAAGGTTGTATTGTAAAGTCATTCTCAAGCCTTTACTACCAAACCAGTTTAGAGGTAAGGATCTCATCTCAAAATATCTCCAAAAAAAAAAGGTGAGACCAACATTGACCCAAAGGAACAATCTGTATCACCACTACAGAAATAGAAAACAAAACTGTATGTGAACCATATATACATCCTAAATTATTGGGCCAGGGAGAAGGCTTGGCAAGTAAGGGCACTTGCCACCAAGTTTGTGGACTTGCATTCAATCTCCAAGACACACATGGTGAAGGCAAAGAGGCAACTCCCACAAGTTGTTGAACATGGCACGCCATCATACACACACATACACACAAGTAAATGCAATTTTTTTTTTTTTTTTTTTTTGGTCTTTTTGAAGCAGTGTCTCCCTCTAGCCCCAGCTGTCCTGGAACTATGTAGACCAGGCTGGCCTTGAACTCACAGAGATCCGCTTGCCTCTGCCTCCCAAGTGCTGGGACTACAGGCATGTGCCACCGTGCCTAGCTCATGTAAATGCAATTTTTTAAAAATTTACATTTCTAAGTTAAAACTAATTATTTTAATGTTCAACCTATATAAATTTATATAACCCAAATACCATTGTAATCTATATATTTTACTTTTTACATCCAGTGTGTATTTTTTTAAAATTTATTTTAAATTAAAAATTTATTAAAAGGCTTTTTTGTTTTATATATATATATATATGTATTTAAGACGGTTTCCCTGTAGTCCCAGATGGCTTTGACCTTGTTACGTAGACCAGGCTGACCTCAATCTCAGAGATCCACCTGCCTGCCTCCCAAATTCAGGGATTAATGGTGTGTGCCCCCATGCCCAGCTTTAAAAGGTTTTATAATTGTTCTAGGGATTGAGCCCAGGTCCTCACACATGCAAGATAAGCACTTTACCAATTGTGCTATATCCTTCCCCCCACCCCTTTTAATTAGTGTGTATCTCACATGTACTAAAACCACTTTTCAACTTAGCCTAGCCACCTTACAGGTGCTCAATGACCATGTGGCTAGTGGCTACTATAGTGAGTACTTATGTTCAATTTGACAAATGTTTATATGAAGCAAAATGGCAAATGGCACCTGGAAAAGACTTTCTAATTCAAATCTTTACAGCTTGGGATAGGCATTTTCAAATTTTTATTTATTATTTTCTATTTTGTGTGTATGAGTGTATTGCCTGCATGTATGTAAGGCACATGTGTCATGCAATGCCCTTGGAGGTCAGAAGAGGGTGTTGGAGCCCCTGGAACTGGAGTTAAGGAAGGTTGTTAGCCTCCACGTGGGTGCTGGGAACCCAGGGTCCTGTGCAAGAGCAGTCAGTGCTCTTACACCACTGAGCCATCTCTCCAGCCCTGGCATAAGCATTTTTTTGCAGGAACAGTACTGGCCCTCATATATGGACTAGTTCTGTACTTCGTAAAAAGAGTCCACTTGAGAGCCAGAGAGATGGTTCAGCAGTTAAGAGTAAGTACTGATATGCCGGGCGTGGTGGCGCACACCTTTAATCCTAGCACTCAGGAGGCAGAGGCAGGTAGATCCCTGTGAGTTCAAGGCCAGCCTGGTCTACATAGTGAGTTCCAGGGCAGCTGGAGCTACAGGGAGACCCTGTCTCAAAAAGACCAAAAAAAAAAAAAAAAAGAGTATGTACTGCTCTTGCAGAGGACCTGAGTTCAGCTCCTACCACCCACATTGGACAGTTCACAACTGCCAATAACTCCAGCTCCAGAGGATCTAATGCCTCTGAACCCCCACAGACAGTAGAACTCACATGTACACTCACACAAACATATAAATGTTTTAAAAAACATAGTCCACTTTTAGAAAAGTTAATAATTTATATATACCATAATATATATTACAATTTATTTACAGTGTGTGTGTATGCGCGCGCGCACGTACGCATCCCATAGCAAGCATGTAGAGGTCAAGGGACAACTGTAGCAGTTGGTTCTTTCTATGATGCCAGTTCCACGGATTTAACTCAGGTTGTCAGATTTCGTAGCTGGCATATTTAGCCAGTGAGCCATCTCACCAGCTCAAATTTATATTTTAATATGGATGAATTTTCCATAATATGTATTAGAAGGAACTTGAAATTTATAGTCCTAGTGTATTTTTATTTACTAAATCCACAGACTCAGCATAAGCTTGTTGTTCTTTTTTTTAATATTTTATTTATTATTTTTATTTTATGTGTATGAGTGTATTGCCTGCATGTATGTAAGTACACCCGTGTCATGCAAAGACTGCAGAGACCGGAAGAGGGCATTGGATCCCCTGGAACTGGAGTTATAGACAGTTGTTAGTTGCCATGTGGGTGCTAGGAATCGAACCCTGGTCTTCTCGAAGAGCAGTCCTTTCTCCTAACTGCTGAGCCATTTCTCCAGCCCCCAATCCTGACGTTCCTTTACCTTCACAAGTTCTTTAAATACAGCATGTTGAATCATTTTTCTTTTGTTTAGTCCAGATGCCATCTCTTCAAGGTCAATAGCAGACCTTCATAATGGTAGTAATGGGATAAGGAGGAAAAAAACTAGTTAAGATCATCTAGAAGAGGTTCCACCCCACAGAATGTATGAGGAGCATTCCACATACATATTAAGTCCCCTAATTAATATTCATATAATTATTACATATTCATAAGACTAGATCATAAAGAACTGTGCCATAAAATATTATATGCAAGACTTTGGTTGACTATTGATTGAAGACTTTCAGTTCAATACATAACTATTAATTTGTCTGGTTGTAACTGAAAAATATTTTCTTTTTTGTGCAGTTCACACATTTTACACAGAGAAAACAGTACTGACTTTCTAATTCTAAAACAGTACTGACTTTCTAGTTCTAAATGCTTAAATTCTAGTAGTTCTATTTCTGTTCCCAGATTAACAATACAAGAAGAAAGTACGTACTGAGTGTAACAGAAACTGGAATCCAAGAAGTTAATAGAAGTAGCTGTATTATTTTAATGTCCCCGTTTAGTCAATGTCTCTCCCAATGAATATGGTAACAAAGACCACACACATTACTCCTTCATTCAAACAGGGATAGAAAAAGCAAGAAGAAAAGAATATGTAATTCTTGGGGCTGGAGAGATAGTTCAGCGGTTGAGAACACTGTTCTTGCAGAAGACTGGGGTTCGAATCCCAGCATCCACATGGCAGCTAACAATTGTCTGTAAATGCAGTTCCAGGGGATCCGACAGCCTCTTCTGTACTCCATGGGCATTGCACAACATGGGTGCACTTACTTACATGCAGGTGTAACACTCACACACATAAAATAAAAATAATAAGTATTAAAAAAATGTAAGTCTCCAATCATGGAGAATTTAATGATTAATGTCATCTTAGGCCTTAAGAGGATAAAATGGCACCACAATTTTCTGAAGAATCTGAATTGTTAAAGAGCTTTCATATTAAAATAGTATGTTTTTGGTTTTGGTTTTTGGTTTTTTTGAGACAAGGTCTCCTTGTAGCCACAGCTGGCCTGGATTTGCTAATGGAGACCAGGCTGCCCTCAAACTCACAGATATCCACCTGCCTCTGCCTCCCGAGTGCCAGGATTAAAGGCGTGTGCCACCATGCCGGGATAAAAATAGTATATTTTACTACAATAAATAATTGAACCCATCCAAATAAAGGAGTAAGATAGGAAAAAAAATTTACAATGAAAAGAAGCTATCTTTGGTTTATTTGCTGGATTGTCATTATAGCAATATACATGTAGTCCTTTCTGTCTTTCTCTCTCCCTTCCTTCCTAAGTTTAGTTAGCCCAGGTTGACCTGGAACTTAAGATAATCCTCTTGCCTCAACCTCCCGAGTGCTAGATTAGAGGCATGAGCCAACCATACCTGGTTGTAGGTGCAGTTTTCTACAACACATGAGTTCTATATTGTTCCAGAGCTACATAGAAGTTTTCATAATAAAACAAACTTTCTTAGTTACCTCCTCATTCCAGTAAACTGAACTTAGTTTGCCCTGTTTTTTATCCAATTAATTCAACTTACTTAACATTTTCTCTTAGTTGCTTCACTAGTTTAATATTAACATCTGCTTCCAATAATGCTGTACATACTTCTTTCAACATAGCATTTAATACCTGAAAAGTAAATAAATAAAATTTAAAAGTTGCTTTATTTCAATGACATAAAGACAATGGTGGATCAGGTAGCACACATTGCATAGCTGAATAAAGATAAAGCAATACCACACTATGGGAGGAGGGAAAAGGTTTCTCAGTTACCTTTGGAGAGAAAATATTAAATATCCAGTTATTTTGCCAAAATAAGGCATTGCACGTAGTTTTACATAACCAAGTATCAATCATCACAATTTTATTCTTATATTAAAATAACAATAAAGCAACATTCAAGACAAAGAAACTTACTAAAATAATAAATATTGCCAATGATGTTTTCTAAGTCACTGAAGAACGCTGATGCATGTATTCACAGCATATGCTTTTCTTAACTGGAGGATATGGAGAAAATGTGAGAGAAGAAAATGACCTATTCTTACCATTTCTATTGAAAGCAGAGGAATAAAGTAGAAATGGAATTTGAGGTTGACCTGCCCACATTCATATCACACAACTACTAAATGGCTAAACTGGGACTCTAAACAAGGGCTTCTACCATTGACCTCAATACTTTTTTCCATTATTGCTATAAAATAATACTTGTGGACTATAATCACCTGCCTTCAATTACCAAGGCATTAAGATACAATGAGAGAAACAAGTCATTAAGGGCTGAGGCAGAGAAACACAATATCTTCAACTTAAAACTATAAAGCCAGGAAAACTATTTCCAGTATGATATAATGGTTTCATTTATGACTTGTTATTTAATTAGAATTATGAGAAAAACCTTCCATGAGGAAATAAGGAAAAAAAGATTCTCCTTCCTGGTTGGAACTTCTGCCTTGGTCTGCTGGTCTGTGTAGGGTTGAAATTACAGGTGGCGTATACCACCATACCAAGGGAAAATGCTCACCTTTTATATGAAAAATGCTAAAAGAAAGTGATGGAGAAAAATCAGATAAGCAAATGCCTACCAAGGGGAAAGAACAATGAAGTTTTAGATCTATGTTGAGAAAAAAAGCAGAGCACATTTCCAGATTCAAGTTTTCAAAAGGTTCACTGTTCAGTTGGGTTTTTTCTTTCTTTGGTCTTTTTCTCCCTGTAGCCCCAGCTGACCTGAAACTCACTATGTAGATCAGGCTGGTCTTGAACTCACATAGATCCGACTGCCTCTACCTCCCAAGTGTTGGGACTACAAGCACGTGCCACCATGCCCAGCTGGTTTTTTCTTAATTATATATTTTAACAAAAGGGTTTTTTTTTTTTTTTAAGTTCTGTATACATAGGGAGAGATGGCTCAGGGGTTAAGAGCACTGGCCAATCTTACAGAGGACCCGGGTTCAGTTCCCAGCACTCACAAGGTGGCCAACAACCACCTTATATAACACCAGTTCTGGGCATCTGATGCCCTCTTTTGGACTCCTTGGGCACTAATCACACACATGATGCAGATACATAATTCATACATAACATTCATGCACATTTAAAAAAAAAGTTCTGTATAAAAAGGTGAAATAGCCGGGCATGGTGGTGGCACACACCTTTAATCCCAGCACTCAGGAGGCAGAGGCAAGTGGATCTCTGTGAGTTTGAGGCCAGCCTGGTCTACATAGCAAGTTTCAGGTCAGCTGGGACTTACTGGGAGACCCTGTCTCAAAAAGACCCCCAAAAAGGAAGAAATGTAAAATCATGACAGGGTAGTTGCTTTCTCAATAAAAAGCACTCCTTACTGTAATCTAGCTGTATTTGTCTACAATATTAAATCTCTATCAAAATGAATCCTAACTATAAGGACATTATTTAGTCTAGCTCCCCCATCCTAGCAATGATGCACAAGCACATGAATCTCATACAGTATTTTCATACCTCTTCATTGATAATGGTGGCATTGCTCAATGAGCGTAAAGCTGATGTTATTTTTCGTCCAAGGTCTGCTAGAACCATCTTGAAGGCTTTAAGATGTACTTATGAGGAACTCTAGAAACGGGAAAGAAAAATTTAATTAAAATCCATTTCTCATAACTGAAGACTTTTTTTTTTGGTCTTTTTTTTTTTGAGTGCTGGGATTAAAGGTGTATGCCACCATACCAGGAAACTGAAGACTTTGAAAAAATTTTTTGGTTTGTTTTTATTTTATGTGTATGAGTGTCAAGTCTGCATGTGTGCTAGGTGCACCCATGTCGTACAGTACCCACAGAGGCCAGAAGAGGACGTCAGGTCCCTAGGAACTGGAGTTACAGATGGTTGATAGCTACAATGTGAGTGCTGGGATTTGAACCTGGATCTTCTGCAAGAACAACCAGTGCTCTTATCTGCTGAGCCATCTCTCCAACCCCATAACCGAAGACTTCTAAAGAAGAATATTTAAGTTCAAATTCAAGTCCTCCAGCGCTTCAGCATTATAATTTCAGCTTTTATAGTCTCAATCTGCAGCTTTAATACATTTATGTCCAAAAGATGAAACTGCTATTTGGTTATGATACCTTACATTTCAATACTTGATTTAAAAATCTTACATATAAATGAGCAAAATTAAACTGTCAAATTGTCAAATACTACCCTCTAAAGAAATAGTAACATGGTCTTAATTATATTCTCTTTTGGCACAATACTTGTAAAGATGAATAACTGAGTGATGTATCATGAATTTTTTTTTTTTTGTTTTGGCTTGGTGTGATATTTTTGAGTCTGGGTCTCCCTGTAGCCCCAACTGATCTGGAACTTGTTATATAGACCAGGCTGACCTCGATCTCACAGAGATCCACCTGCGTCTGCCTCCCAGGTGAGTACTAGGCCTTTTTGGGACTTAAAGGCATGTGCCGCCACAACTAGTCATCAAAAACATTTTTAAAGAAAAAGATAAAGCAAAGGAAAAAGAAGAGAAAGCTCCAGGAATAGTGAGTACTTCGTTTCCCACATTATACGACTCTGTGCTATTTTGAATCTGGCTCTTAAGCGAAAAAAAAAGAAAAAAGAAAAAATTTATCTTAATTCATAAAGCACTTTACTAGCACAAAGCAAATCAACTGCTGAGTCATTAACTACATGGCAGTCACTGGGCTAAATTAGTCCACATAAATTGTATTACTCCATTTTATTCTCCCAACCAAACAAGAGAAGAGGTATATGATTACTCTTCCCATTTGAAAGCTAATTCCTGATTCCTCAACTCCAAAATGAAGTACCTTCAAAAATCCTTTCCCTTAAACCAGGCATGGTGGTACACTTCTGTAATCCCAGCACTTGGACTGGGGAGCAGGAGGACCAGGAGTTCAAAACTAGCCTCTATACATAGTGAATTGAAGGCTAACCTGAGCTACAGACAACCACCCCCCCAAAAAAGGTTTTTTAAAGCATTAAAGCTTTATAAAAGTATATAGATATACCTGCTACATGAAAGGATGCTAGACTTCAGAGACATTAAGCAAATATGATTTGTGCTCCATCCTCAACATGCTTATTTACCTGTTGGTAAGGCAAGGTACATGCATGAACAGCAAAATAAATACTAAGAAGGAATTCCTCCTGCCTGACTACAAACTAGGAAACGAGTTTCCTGCCTCTCTGGCTGCAATCCTGCTATGTTAGCCTTTGGACTGCAACTGCACCATTAGCTCTCCTACTTGTCAACTCATCCTATATATCTTCACACTAGTCAGCTTCCATAACTGCCTGAGATAATTTCTTATAAGACCTGTCTGTCATCTGTTACACGCGCGCGCGTGCACACACACATTCTGTTTCTTTGAAGAACCCAGAAAAACAACTAGTGAACTAAAGCTAGCAATAAAGCAATATGGTCAATTGTTAATGATTTCTATAAAAATTCACAAATGAGTTGGTCATGGTGGTACATGCCTTTAATCCCAGAACTTGGGAGGCAGAGGCAGGTGGATTTCTGTGAGATAAAGGCAACCCCATCTACATAGTGAGTTCCAGACCAGTTAGGGATATAGGGAGACCCTGTCTCCAAAAAAAAAAAAAAGGTTCACAAAATGAAACAGGAGTTAGGTTGAAATAAACAAAATGGATTTTATTCGAATTTGGTTCTGAATGTGGGCAGAATTTGGTAAGTGGAAAAGAAGGAAAAGGGATTTGAGAAGTGTGAAATGGAATTAAGGAGAAATGCAGACATGGAAGAACCACTGGGGGGCACAAAGTATCAAAGCATTCTAGCCAGGACAGAGGGCTATATAGGAGGAATAAAGTTGTGAAGTGCTCTGAAAACCAGGTTTAAGGAACATCAACTGTCTAATACAAACAGTATCGGCAAAAAGTTAACTATTCAAAATCACTATTTTGGCAACCTTTCAACTGCTTTTAACAGAAGACCCAGGTTCAGTTCCTAGCACCCACATGGCAGCTTACAATGCATAACTCCAGATCCAGGGGCTCCAACGCCCTCTTCTGGCCTCTGTGGCATGCACATGGTGCACTTACATACATGTAGGCAAAACACTCAAAACACTCATACACATAAAAATAATTTTTAAAAAGATAAGACTAATTATTGCTGACATGATGAAAATGAGAAAAATATTTTGCTTGCCTTTTAAAAAAACAATTAAATGATTACTTATCCTGAAGGAGCAACTACTTGATGGAAAATATCCAGGATTTACTTCTTATCGCATATCCAATAAGCTAAATAATTTTTATTTTCATGGAAATATTCTAAGGTTGGGATGTTTTAGTTTCTCTCCTTTATCACTGTGACTGTGTTACCAGAAATGACACAGTCCTATCTATGATACTACAATGAATTTTAGAGATGATGTCATGAACAAATAGATGATTTTCATTTTAAAAAGGCATAGCAATTAATCTATTTCCCATACTAAGGCTCTTTTAATAAACTTATAGAAATTTTTTCTTCTTTTTCAAGATTTTTTTTTTTTTTGGTATTTTTGAGACAGGGTCTCCCTGTAGCGCCAGCTGATCTAGAACTCCCTACGTAGACCAGGCTGGCCTCAAACTCACAAAGATCCACCTGCCTCTGCCTCCTAAGTGCTGGGATTAAAAGCATGCACTACCACACCCAGTTTCCTTTTTAAGATTTTTAGTTAGCTTATTTTATTTTATATTTTGAAATAGTGTTTTCAGGCTGTCCTGGAACTTATTATGTAGCCAAGGATGACCTTAAGCATGTAATCGCCTGCTTCCCTTCACTGCCCAAGTACAGAGACTACAGAGATTACACCAGGCCTGGTTTACATGGTGCTAGAGAGCAAACCCAGGTTTCCTTCATTCTAGGCACACACTCTGCCAACCAATATCCCTAGCTTATCTAAGTGCTCCTTAGCAGCATACTTTGAAGTAGTTTTATTTACAAAAACCTAAACTTCTAGAAAATATTGAGTTTGAGGCCATCCTAAGCTTAATAGCAAGTTCCAGGCCAATTTCAGCTAGACAACAAAATCCCTCTACTTTGGTAAAAGAACATGAAGACTTAATAATACTTGACTTGTAATGTTTTCTCTATTTCCAAGAATGTGTTTTTAAAAGCTCAAGTATCTAAATTTTAATTCATTTAAAATTTCAATTATTTCCCATTGTAGGAAGACCTAACTCTTCAGAACGGACTGTGAGTGTGGTAGTTTGAATGAGAGGTTCCCCATAGGCTCCAAGTATTTAAACAAAACTTTGTCCCCAGTTCCTGGGGAGGTCTTAGCAGGTGTGTGACCTTGCTGCAGAAGCACATCACTGGGGGTGGACTTACAGAGTTCTTAAGTCCTGCCAGATCTCCAGGTGCACTCTGCTTCCTGTTCCTGCTTGGAGATGTGAGAGCTTAGCTTCTGCTCCTACTCCAGTCACCTCTGCCACTTCACCTTC